GAGGATGACCACTTTGTGGTTGAAACGCGTTGTGCTATTAAAATAAAAGTTTGGTGTGACGGGCTAATCGTGTTTTTGTTCATGAAGCAATAAAGCCTAAAAAAACGAAACGCTTGGAAATTAAAATATAAAATAAAAACTCTTTCAAAATACATTCAAAAAAAACATAATCAATAAATATAAATAAAATCAAGAAAATAAAAGTTTTCAATTTCCTTGTTCTTAATCAAAATCTATAAAAAAAAAAAACTCGTACAAGTAGAAGAAGGTTTAGCCTGCGACAATGTCATCAAAGTTAAAAAATGTTACTAATTTGAGAGTAAATTAAAATAACTATTTATGCAACAAGTTGCAAAATGAGCGTGTTTTTCACCAGACGTAAAAAACAGCCATATTGCATCGTGTTTTACATCAATCAAAATATCTCAAAAGCAAACACTTTTTCAAAAAAATGCCAACGATCGGCCTATAAAATATTCTTTTAAATTATCTTACAAAAACCAAGATTGATTATTTGAAAAATGATTGAGTAAAGTTGTTTTCAAGCTCAGCATTTATGCATTTTTGTTTTTTTTAAAGGTATTACATTAAAAAAAAAATCTCAACGTATCGGCCTTGTACAGTTGGTTGCCTATGTTGTATTTGTTTGTTAATAAAGTCAGTTGATCATAATTTCTGATCAATTCTACCGATTTCAGGTTTAGTGTTCTACCAATGTTTTATCTACCTACGAAAATCAGAAATGAGCAAAAATCACACAATAATACAAAAAAATGCGCGGTTTTATTTGACAGTCGATTGACGAAATGTCAATTTGTATCGCTACCTAACCTCACAAAAATTTAAATTTTTTTATTTATTCTATCATTTCTACAATTTATAGAACATGTTCTAAATATTTTTCGTTTAAAAAATTTATTAATAATATTTTCAAAAATGTACGTATGACACGATGATGTAATTTATAAAAACACTTTTTGACATTTTTCATTATAAATTTTATATAAAATCTAACATCGTGTCAGACGGCTTTTATTTATTGAAACAACCTAAAAATCTGCTAAAAATAAATTTTTAGATAAAAATTGGGAATGAAAACACTTCACAGTTTTGCGCGTGCGCACTTGTTCATTTGTCGACGTCTTTCATTGTATCAGCTGTCAAATTCGTAAAAAGTCAACATATGAGGTGAACACACGTAGCAAAACTCGAACATTTTCAAATTATCCCATATTTTCGTCTAGTTGATCATGTTTTCAGTGTAATAAACGTGCAAGACAACAATGAGGTCGTTAGGTATATCAGTTTTGAGTCTCACACTAACCACAATTGTGATAGCAAATGCATACTACCAGAAAAAACAATTCTACCCTTCGGTTGTGTATATTACAAAATCAAATCCTAGCATGGCTGTAAGTATTTCACTTTTGCAATTAAGTGGATAGTTAATTGTTCGTTTTAGGTCATTTATATTCAAGCTTTTATATGTGTCTTGATTGTGGGCAAAATTATGCGGAAAATCTTTTTTGGACAACTTAGATCGGCTGAGTTTGAGGTAATTAGTGGAGAGTAATAAAATTGCGTCATTAATTGTGATTTTGTAGCATTTGATGGAAAGGTCATGGTATGCAATAACAGAGACTTGTTTAGCTTTTACTGTGTTTAGAGATGATTTCAACCCGAAATTCGTAGCATTGTTTACTTTGCTACTGTTTCTAAAGTCGTTTCATTGGTTGGCCGAAGACAGGGTCGATTATGTAAGGCACACTCATTACACAGGGCGACAAAAAAGTCATGTCGTGACAACTTGACAGATTTTATAGCATTTTGTTCGTCTCAGTGAGACAAATCAAATGCACTAAAAAAATTCAAAATGTCCATACACTGAACTAAATATTTTTTTCTATTTAAAATACTTTAAAAAATCATTACTCGATAACTATTAGGCCGATTTCCTTCAAATAAAGACCATTCTAAAGGGATGGACTTGTCCTTTAGAGTGATATGCAATTTGAAATTGAATATTGGCAAACTTTTCTTCGAATAGTGTTCTAAGAAAAACCCTACGAGTAATTTTTTTTCTTTGTCACCATTCTATTAGTAAGAATTTTTTAAATAATATACCGAGTAGTTTTTAAGACACGATTTTTTGAAGTTGAGGTTTGCTATTTAGGTATTGCGCCATATAGAAGAAATGCATGTTAATCTTATTTAAAATTGCATTTTTATAAAAGTATTTGTTTTAAGACTCTTCTTTTGCTTAAAAATGCTCAATTGCACCTTCTTTGTTCTAATTAGAATAAACAAAAACTGTTTCTTTACTTAAAACAAACAAAGAATGTCTGCGTACTAATTAAAGCAAAGCAAGGGTTTTTTTGTTCTAAAAATGATCACTGATCATTGAGCAAAGAGGATCTAGAAGTTTAAGGCACGAGCCTTAAATATAAGGGCAAATCTTTTTCAAATTAAATCACTTTCCATTCAGATTCCAACTTGTTCGCTTTGTTCTAGCTTTCCGAACATTTTTTTGAAAATGTTCTCAGCAAATGCTTTTTCATCACTTTCTACTGATGTTGAATGCAATAAATCAGTTGCTTCGTGTGCAACTGTTATCACAACAACTACTACTTACAAGCTAACTGAAGCTAATCGCAAGATGTACCAATAAAATAAATCAGGTGATTTATTACATTTAACATCACTCGAAAATGATGAGAAAGCATTTGCCCAGAACATTTTCAAAAAAATTTCAGAAAGCTAGAACAAAGTGAACAAGTCGAAATCTGAATGGAAAGTGATTTGATTTGAAAAAGATTTGCCCATATATTTAAGGCTCGTGCCTTAAACTTCTAGATCCTCTTTGCTCAATGATCAGTGGTAATTTTTACAACAAAAAAACTCTTTATTTGCTTTAATTAGTACGCGGGTACTCATTGTTTGTGTTAAGTAAACAAACAGTTTTTGTTTATTGTAATGAGAACAAAGAAGGTGCAATTGACCATTTTTAAGCAAAAAAAGAGACTTAAAACAAATACTTTTATAAAAATGCAATTTTAAGTAAGATTAACATGCAGTTCTCCTATATGGAGCAATGCTTGATTAGCAAACCATAACTTCAAAAAATCATATCTTGAAAACTACTCGGTATATTTTTTTGAAAATTTGGATTACAACTAATAAAGAGATGCTCTACACGATGCTGACGAAGAAAAAAAAATTACTCGTAGGGTTTTTCTTAGATTACTTCGTTTTACTTCGAACACTGTTCGAAGAAAAGTATGCCAATATTCAATTTCAAATTTTATATCGTTCTAAAGGCTAAGGCCATCCCTTTAAATGGTTTATATTTGAAGAAAATCGGCCTAATAGTTATTGAGTAATGATTTTTTTAAGTTTAAGTATTTTAAATTCATTTAAATTAGAAAAAAAAATATTTAGTTCAAAGTGTGTGGATTTTTAAAAAAAAAATTTAATGCATTTGATTTGTCTCACTGAGAGGAACAAAATGATATATAAATGAATATAAAGTATGGAACCAAGCGGTTTTATTTTTAATCATTTACCTCCAGAAAATAATAATTAATATAAATTAAAGTAATATAAAAAATGTGATCGTATTTTCAGAACGAAATTTTGTTTTGTTTTTGAGTTATGCGATTTTTTTTGTCAAAATTGCAATTTGTAATCCTTAGAGTATAGCTTTTATGAGAAAATGATTTTATAGTGGGTTGTCATTTAAAAAAATTATTTTTTTTGTAGAACTTAAAAACAAAAAGAAATTTCGAAAAATTTTATTCTTGTTAAATCATCACATTTTTATAGTACTTTATCACTCATCAATTAGTTTTTTCAAAAAATATATAGTTTAAGGAAAAAACGTTTGGTTCCATACTTTTTATTCACGTGGTATAATTTGTCAAGTTATCACGACATGACTTTTTTTGTCGCCCTGTGTTATTTTTCACTCAAAAAATTGATTAATTTTTTTGTAGATGGAGAGAAGCCCTGTTATAAGCTTACTGTTTCATATAAGGGTATTATCATTACTATTATTATTGGGTTCCCTTGACTTACATTTTATTCAACACGCGTACCAATCAACTGTGTCGAAAGGGGCCTCCGTTCAATTGGTTTTTGGTTTTGAGTACGCCATTCTTCTGACTGTCGTCATAAATATCGCGATAAAATATGCCTTACATTCAGTTGACCTCAACAGTGAGACTCCTTGGGACAACAAAGCAGTTTTTCTGCTTTACACTGAGCTCATTATGGGTTTCATCAAGGTCATTCTTTACGTCGCTTTTGTCGCTATTATGGTTCGCATCTACACTCTTCCCTTGTTTGCGTTCCGCCCAATGTACTACACAATTCGCAACTTCAAAAAAGCCTTCAGTGACGTGATCCTCTCCCGTCGCGCCATCTACAACATGAACACCTTGTACCCCGACGCCACCCCCGAGGAATTGCAAGCCGCCGACAACGTTTGTATCATCTGTCGCGAAGAAATGACAACCGCGTCAAAAAAATTACCTTGCAATCATATTTTCCACACGTCGTGTCTCCGGTCGTGGTTCCAACGTCAGCAGACGTGTCCCACATGCCGTTTGAATATCCTGCGAACGCCCACGAGTAACAATAATGAGCCACGCCAGGACCAGAGACATAGACAGGTGCCTCTAAACCCGCCGAATCCGTTTTTCAACCCGTTTGGTGGCCAGAATCCGTTTCAAATGTTCGGCCAGAATAACCAGCAACAGCCACAAGCACAACCGGCGACTGGAGGGACTGCAACTGGCGCACAAAATGCGACCAATGCACCACAAGCTAATCCTAATATTCCGCCTTTTGTTTTTCCACCGTTTCCGTTTATGCCGTTTATGGCACCGCCACCGATGCCGCCACCAAATCTGCAATCGTTGTCGCCGGAGGAATTGAGGAGGATGGAGGGGAACGAGAGGCAGAATGTTGAGGCCAGGATACAATGCTTGCGCAATATCCAGGTTTGTAATAGATTTGGTCTTATAGATACCTAAATACTAGGATACTACACAATGTAAAAAACTTCAAAACTATTACGAATTTTGCAGTTTTCTTGACGCCAATCGATTCCCCGGAACATTTTACATATGCTTAAGTCAAAATATCATTGAGGTATAGTTTTTTCGCAATTTGTCAAAATTGTAAAGTTTTAAATGCAATTTTCTACGAAACTATAAAACTTAGATCAAAAATCTGAAAACCATTAAAATCTATGTAAAGTACAGTTATCTATCTAACGGCGCAAACCGGACGTCGCTTCGGGTTATGGTTCCGGGTCCTAGGTCAAAACGGTTTGTACAGGCGTATTCTCTGGTTAATTTTACACATAMAACTGGTTTTTCATAAGAATAAAAAATTTTTGATTTTTTTTCGTTGAAATTTTTTTGATCGATTTTTGGCAGTTTTGTTGACGCCAATCGATTCCCCGGAATATTTTACATATGCTTAAGTCAAAATGTTATATCATTGAGGTACAGTTTTGCTGCAATTTCCAAAATAAGAAGGAGTAAAAATTTGTGAATCTCCAATTTTTTCATAAAAAATTAATTTCTCAAAAACCATGAGTCCTAGGTCAAAACGTTTTGTACAGGCGTATTTTCTGGTTAATTTTACACATACAACTGGTTTTTCATAAGAATCAAATTGATTTTTTTTGTTGAAATTTTTTTGGTCGATTTTTGGCACCTGGAGCGGTCTATTGCGAATAACTTCGGACTTATTGGTAATAACCTCTTACATTTGGTACCGTTAGAAAGCAAATTTAATTTTCTATCATAAAAAAAGATCAGTGTTCTACGATAGTTATCGAAATTTTCTGATAAAATCAAAAATATCGACTATAACTTCAAAACTATTACGAATTTTGCAGTTTTCTTGACGCCAATCGATTCCCTGGAATATTTTACATACGCTTAAGTCAAAATGTTATTACAGTACAGTTTTGCTACAATTTATAAAAAAAGAGTAAAAATTTGTGTACAGGGTGCTGCATTTTGGATGTCCGAATAGGGAATCTCCGAAAGTAAGATGTTTAGCCAAAAACGAGTAATACATTCTGGGGCTCATTTTTTGAGAAAATAATATTGGTTAAAACCGCATCCCGCTATCGTCTTTTGTTTTCGACTTATAGACAAAAATTGACATTTTAGCGAAATCTAAAAAAAATCATATCTTCGTTATTATAGAAGACACAGATTTGAAATAAAGACATTATACAGACACTTTTTTACGTAGAATTTAATAATGTAGTTAACATTTTTTTCAATTGTTTGTTTAGCCGTAATAAAATAAACTTGTATTTTTTTAAATGGGAATCATAGATGGCTATGTCATTTTTAAAAAGCTTGTTTTTTTCTTATCAAAAAAATATATATTTGTAACAAATTATTATAATAAATTTTTAGCAAAAAATTATCTTTGATTTTTGTTCGCAGTTGGCCATGAAAAAATGTTGCATCTTCAACTAAAAGGATTTAAACTAAATTATATTCAACCAGTGTCACTAATGAAAGAGTTTTCTAAGTACTAAGTAATGAAAAAAAAGCAAAATAAATTGTAAATCAACTTATTAGCGACTAATAACATTTCTTTGTTTTTAAACAAGCTAACATTACCATTGCAACTTCTAGTGATACATAGAGTGTTGTAAAAAAAGCCGCTTTAATTCTTCAATAAAATATATTTTATATGACACAAAAATGACGATATGGCTATTCAAATACCCAAATTCCGTCTATGTGAAACGTTGTTCTACCTCCATTAGATCATCAAAAATTTTTTTTTCTAATTGTGTTGACTGTTGACACATTTGTTTTTCCTATTTTTTAATTTTTTAAAAATATGTAATAATTTTTTCTGAAGCGCTCGCATTTTTGTTTAATGCTTCTACCGCATCGTATTTTTTATATCTTTATAATTTTATCTATTTTTTCATCTATTTTACAGTTCACAAAACACTTATTGATTATTATTTACACATTTGGAGTGAAATAGTTTTTCCATGGCCAACTATTATCAAACAAAATATGTATTTCATTTTTTAAGTATAGTTATAAAAAAATATTCTGTTATAAATTATGTATTTTTTAGATCAGAAAAAAAATAAGCTTTTCAAAATTGCCATAGCCGCCTATGATTTCCATTTAAAAAAATAAAAGTTTATTTTATTATGGCTAAACTAATAACTGAAAAAAATTGTTAACTACATTATTAAATTCCCCGTAAAAAAAGTGCCTGTATAATGTCTTTATTTCAAATCCGTATCTTCTATAGTAACGAAGATATAAATTTTTTTAGATTTTGCCAAAATGTCAACTTTTGTATGTAAGTCGAAAACAAAAGACGATAGCGGGATGCGGTTTTAACCAATATTATTCTCTCAAAAAATGAGCCCCAGAATGTATCACTCGTTTTTGACGAAGCCTCTTAGTTTCGGAGATTCCCTATTCGGACATCCAAAATGCAACATCCTGTACATCCCCAAAAATGACTGTATTTACATAACGGTGAGCAAAACGCAAATTAAAAAAATAAACAGAGCATTAAATTCTCAATAATAAGAGATAAAGGTAATGCACAAATTTTTTTGAAAACTATATTTAAAAAAATCACTTAGCAATTTGCGTCCCGTCTCATATTTTTGAAAATGCTGCGAATACGGTTAAAGATACAAGAAAAATGTAATAAAGAAAGTTGTAGAGAATCAAATTTACAAAAAAAAGTCTGCGAGACGATACCTCTATCTTCAATGGTTTAGGTCCTAAAGACGTTTTGAATGTACTTATGTGTTTCTGATACAAATGATTTTACTCAAAAATGGTAAGTTGTACCGACAAAACGTAAGAGACCTCTTTTTTGTGAAAAACTATGGCGTTTAGAATTTTGTTGCTGAAAGTGGCAAGAAACTTCACTACTCCAAAAAATTAAAGGAACAAAAAATTTTCCTAAATTTTTTGGTGATTTTTGAAAGGCTGTAACTCATCGGTCGTATCTAGATTAAAAAAAAACTATTTTGAAGCTTTACGTTTCTAGTTTTGAGATCTTTTGGCAAAATTTTTTTCTGTGCAACGTAATCCTAAGTAATAGCGCGAGAAAAAAATCTATTTTTTTTGTTTTTGCTTTTGGTCCACGGACGTGGGGAATTTTTTTTAGTTGCATAGGCCGGATAGCCTGTTTATTCATCTTTAATATGTTTTTTACGTATTCGCTTTACGTCAATTTGTCGCTGAGATATGTGTGACTTTAAATGAAAAAAGGATTCTTTTGTCTTTGATTATCGATATCTCAGCAACCAATGACCACACAGAGAATATAAGGGTAGTGTCAAAAACTGGAATAACTGCCTTATAAGATCCTCTTATAATTTTTTGAAAAAAAAATTTTTTTCTCCTTTAACATTGGTTTAAAGAAAAGAGAAAAAATAAGTTTTTGCGTTGTTTTAGTGAAACTACCGCGTATTCACTAATATTGATGGGGAGACTAATGTTTTTAGGTGTTTTTACAGCTTAATGTACCCCTCATAGGCCTGTAAATTTTTAAATCACATTGTTTTCTCGGACCGATGGATAAAAGTTTTACAAAAGAATTAAAGGAACAATTTATTGTACATATTGTTTCTGAATATTGTCTAATCTTCGTCAAAATGAGAAGCTTTTTTTTACAATTTTGCATTAGTTATTTGCTAAAATAAAAAAAATTAAAAATTTTTTTTTGAATTCTTTTTAAATTTGCAAATAAAATTCAAGGAATAATACTGATTAATTTATGAAAAATAAACAAAAATTTTTTGAAATACTTTCGAATATCCTTTTTTTCAAATTTAATTAATAAGTCATATATGATTGTAAAAAAGCTGAAAACAAATTGTTTTTCTCATTTTGACGAAGATTAGACAATATTCAGAAACAATATGTACAATTGTTCCTTTAATTCTTTTGTAAAACTATGATCAATCGGTCCAAGAAAACGGTTTGGCGGATCGTTTTAAAAATTTACAGGGATATAAGTATCCTACGTTTGGCGCAATGATATAATTTGTTCAGCTTTTTGAGACGCGTCGATTGATATAAAAATTATCCAATTTGAGTGGTCCTTAAATTCCCAAATAAAGTGTGTCTAGTCCTTTTTCACTTCGGTTGTAATACCTACATCTACTTTTTTTCTAATTTGCGTTTATAATACGTTTATTATCTTCTTTCAGAAGGAGTCGTTTATGGCTATCTATAAAAGCACACTGTACTTTAATGAATTTAGGGTTATTTAGGTTTTGTATGCCGCTTCTGACTTATGAGGTAACAAATTTTACGTTGTTGCTTCGGCAATTTCGCGAATTTCGGGCGGAGTGCAAACTAAATTCTGTTGGCTCATATTTTATTTATTATTATTATATTGTAACACTAATAACTAATAATTTCTAAATTTTATTATTAATGACAGACGTCAAAAATAATTCAAAAAATCAGGTGGGCGCCGAGTGTTACCAACCGATACCATCTAACACAAAATTCTCTAGACGACAAAAATATATATATTTTTTAATTAAAATAAGAAAAAAGGGGGCGCAAATTGGAAAAAATAGCATAAAATACTCGTTTTATAATGGCATTGGCGCACTCATCCCATAGAAAACTCGCCTACGGCTCGTTTTCTAACTTGGGATTCGTGCGCCAAATCAACCCTTATAAAACTTGTTCTTTAATATACTATTACTACACTAGGGTGTTGTAAATTCACGCGTTAAAATGCTTTGTTCGAAACTTGTCGTTTCTCACTAGGATTCAAAACGAGAAAGTACATGTTTTGCTCACTCATGACAGCGTGAAGTAAAAGTGTGAGGTAATCATTTGCCGACTCATTTACCTCACTCAAAGAAGAATCTTTCGTTTACAACATGTCTATTTATTTATGGTTTTACCTCACGTAATGACAACGAAAGTTGACTTATTTTGAGCGTTTCCTGGTATTGAAAGATGAATTTTTCGGGTGTCCGGAAATCATTTGGAATGTTTTGGAAATGACGATGTTTTACGCAAAATTTTTAGACGAGTCCGACTACATAAAAACATAGTTTTGACCTAGGACCCAAGTTGTCAAGTTACGATCTTTTTTATTTCGAAACCTCAAAACTAAAATTCCGATTCATTTTCCCTCTTTAGTAGATAATTATTCTGGCGGTTTTTCATTTTAGTTTTCAAAAATCTGAGTTCTGACTTTGTTCATGAGGATACTTTAAGAATTAGCGTGAAAAAATTTACGATGTGGGATTCAAGTCGACATTTCCAATTAATTTTTTCAACTGAATAAATTTTAAAATTCATGAAAAAAACGTCCTTTGAGTGTTTTAATATTTTTTTGATCAACAATTACTGTTAGGTCATGCTGGATGCTGCTGTGGTCATGATGCAGCAATACAGCGCGGCAGCAGCCCTTTCGAGCCAAACCCCCAGTGGAGAGCCCCAGCCAGGCCCTTCAACATCCGGTACATCCCCCACCTGTAATGGAACTACTCCAAAATCGCCAATAAATCTGCCAACTAGTTCAGTGATTAATAATAATGTCGAAAGTGACTCTGTAGCTAGTACTAGTACATCGAACGAGACACCATCGGAGACAACAACTGAATCAGTTGCACTTACACCCGAAGAAGAAGTGAGGAGACGCAGGTTGCAAAAATTCCAGCAAGCTGCAGAACAATAATTTTATTTTATTCCATATTGATTTTGGGTAATCAATTTTATGTTATGATAAGGGCTGAGTGTAGGAGGAAAATTGGTAGTTTTTAGTGTCAAGGCTTGTGCTATTTACCATTTTTGTGACAACATCAATAAATTTGTAAAAAGCCCTTATTGTGTTGTAAATACATGTTTAATTATTTTTTATTTTCTGTGTAGGATTTATCACATTTAATATATTCATTGATATTGTTATGAATTTTAAACTTTATGATGGTCCTATTATTATTATTTAAAGACTGGATTGTTTTGTGACAAAAAGTCACTCATTAATGTTACGTATTCACTATACACTAGTAATTTAATTTGTTAATAAATACATTGTATTGTGGATATTTACCTTGATATGACTAAACAAACAAGGACATTTACTTGATATTTTTATTAGGGGACAAAACTTTATGGTCGTTTTTTCTGCCGGCAACAACACTCTTTTTTGACGGGAATATTGTTATCGCAGTCACCACAAGAAGCTGAAATATCGCTCTGTTGAAACGACATTTTCACCCATTCCCCAGTCCGGGGGTCAATCCTCCATTGGCATTTTTTCAAAGTGCGTGAAACTGGAGACGGCTCTCGTTCCGTCTGGCAACACTGTAAATCGTCCCATTGCTTCTCATTTTGCATAATATCCGAATTCGTCCTTTTATTCCTCCCACATTTGCAACAAATTGAATTTTTGTGTTTTTTCGTAGCTTTTCGTGCCATTTTCGGACTGTCATCATAGTGACAAATCGGTTTTTCCAAATTTTGATTCAGGCGACTGCGTTTCTCGAATTCCATCATAGTTCGCCTCACTCGCTCCTTATTCCTCGCTATTAATTTTTTCTCCAACTCTTTCAAAAGCTTATAATACTCTTCATTATTTTGATATGGCAACTCCATAAAATCGGTACAGTAGGAGTCATTCGAGTCGCTCAAAATATCCGAGAGACTCGAGGGCGAGTCATGGTTTTTCCGGCTCTTGCGGCAGCGACACGCACAGCGATTCCGCCTCTTGGGGGCCGGAGTATACAACGTTTCGGTGCAATCGGAGCTTTCCTCAGGTCTCCTACAACAGCAGCACTCTTGAGGATCCTCGTAGCTTTCATAATCGCCACAGCAGCACTCTGTATCCGAATCAAACCCCACTTGAATCGCCACAGTTTGGGTCTGGATAGTGTAGGACCTTTTGTCCGAGGTCATCGAAGGCGTTTTGGGGACGTTCTCGCCACTTGTCGCGACTAGGGCTCGACTGCCGTCGGTGTCGCCCTCAGCCGTGTGATAACTCTCCTGGAGTCCGGGGCCTCGAGGGACAATTTCGAACGATTCGTCGGCTTCTATCACGTTGTGGAGGGCTCTGCGGTTTTGGAGGTTTCCGGTTGCGGGACGGTGTCTCCCTCGACGATGCCCTCTTCCCAGAATTTGGGCACGAAGGCTTTCGCTAATGTTGCTGCTAGCCGTGCTTCCGACTTCCAAATTGTCTGGATTGTCGACCATTGAGAGGAATTTAAGGCTTTTTGCATGACCTAGAGTGGGAATTTAGTCGCATTTAAAAAATTACTGCTTGGAATTTTGCGGGACGAGAGTTTGCATTGTAGGATGTCAGAATTTGACAAGACAGAGAGGTGTTTTGATAAGTATACTCTTTTTCATATTTATGTGCATCAAGTAGGTTGTAGAAGTCTAAATGAAGCTTTAATAAAGGCCGATTTACACTTGTCATTAATGTCATTTAGAACAAATTTAATCACATCAATAATGACAAAAATCCTTATGTTTGCTATTCTATGTTAACACTTTCAGGGACGGTGGGTTTAAATTTAACTCACTTTAATTTATATTTTTGAGCAGTTTTGCTCATTAATGATAATATTTTTATTAATACAGACATTATTCTTGTAGGGTTTACCACATTTTTTTATTTACAATCAATGAACTTAAAATTATTATGAAAAATATACAATTTATTAATTAATTTGAAGTACTTACATTTTTATGATACTTATTTTAACTTAAAAAAAATGAGTTGTTTTTACTCTTTTACATATTAATGTGCATCAAGTAGGTTGTAGGAGCCTAAATGCATCTTTAATTTAAAGGCTGATTTACACAAAAAGTGTCATTAATGTCATTCAGAACAAATTTAATCACATCAATAATGACAAAAATTCTTATGTTTGCTACCCTATGTTAATTGTGTTGTTAATTTAATTATTTTCTGCTACCTGGGGTTTACATTTATTAAAAAAAAAATATTTTTTATGGAAGACTGAGGTTAGGATTGTTTGAATTTTTGCATGGGTGCCACCTTAAAATGATCCCTTTCAGCGACTACTTCGATGCAAATTAATTTGAAAACGAATATACAAAGAGGAAAAAAACAAAACAAAATAAAATTTCTTTCATTGGGATTAGAATTTCGATCCTTGGGTTTATTACTTTCCTATTTCAACTAGTAACTTCGTGACGTCATTGAGCATTTCCAGCGTATTTAGGTATAGTAAAATCGTTTTCATAAAACCTAAAAATTTTATTACTTTTAAGTTAAATGCGGTATTGCTAAGAGTAAACCAGAAGGTAAACAAATCATAAATTAGTGGAACCCATTCGGACCCAGAAACCAAGGAAACAGGTCAGTTTTTAACAGGGTTACTTACGGATTACTTACTTTCTTTTTGTCTAAAATACTTGAAATGTTTTAATAGTTTTTGATGTAGTTGTTATTAAAGTCAAGTATTTTAAGAAATTTAAAAAAACCAGGTGGTTATTAACAAGCTATTATTAAATAAAGCTGATTTTTTTAATAATAGCTTGGTAAAACTCTACCACTACTTTAGTTTTAAATACGACCCTGTTTTATTCTAGTGGGTGCAGCAACACTTGCAAAGGAGTGTGCCATTTATGGAGGATTACAAATTATATATAACCACTTTCGCTTAACATTACATTGATAAAATTTTGTATTTTTACTAACTGTATTTCGTATTATTCTTAGTTTTTTAAGATATGACTGGTATGTCCTGATGTTGTGGAAAATTACAACAATAACATGAACTTTGTTGATAAATTTGGTCAGTTGATGACATACAGTGATGGACAGTGCATTTCGTCCACCCAATTTCTGTGAATTCACAAAAATTCACTGTAGCCTGTGCTTTATTGTCATGATAACTGACACTGTCAAGTTTAATTAAATTCTTATTCATTTTGGACAGGATTTCCAATCTAAAAATGGATTGGTATTATACCTCAAGCAATATAAGACAAAGTATAGGTAAAAAGTATGTAAGGAATACTGGGCATTTTGCCAACATGATAAATGTTCAACAAAGTTCTCAAACAAGGTTAGAAAATCCTAAAGACTAATTTACACTTTTAGCCTGTCATGGAAATTGGTTGGACAAAATTCACTGTCCGTCACTGTACTCAATTGAAAAAGTCATAAATGGTGGCACTGAATTTTTTTTTCTATTTTGTTGATACTTGCATTATGTAGCACCAAGCAAAAAGGGTTTCGAAGTAACTGGCAGTGTGTAACTGTAGAGTGTTTCTTTGTTAAGGCAAACAGAAAAACTGCTTTCAAGCATATTATTACAAAAAATAATAACTTTTGTTAGCTATCGTACGTATTATTTAGTTTGCTTTTGTTTTTATTATTTGTTGTTATTTGTCTTTGTTCATTATAATACTATTTTATTTTCTTAATTTATTTTTTTAAATGCCTATTATGTCACTAAATAAGTAATAGACAATGACTACTTCATATTAAGAATGCTTTGAAATTATGAAAAGTGTACGAGATTTTATGAGGAGTTCATGAAGTTAATGAGATTATCGGAGAAAGTAAAAAAATCTGCAAATCTAAAATAATTGGTCATAGACCAATGAAAAACTGTCGTTAGTGCTATTTTAAAACCTGTTTTTTAAAACAACTTGAAAAATGATTATTTTTAAAATTCAGTAAATAGCTGTACCTGTACGGTATTTTAAATACAGAGTGGTTATAAATGACTTTCATCTAGCCAGCTGTAAATTTTCCATGTAAAATAGAAAATGCCGCTTTACGAAAACAGGGGTACCTACTTGTTTTAACTCAAAATTAAAAAATCGCCGTTTACTAAGCGTCCACTTCGAAAATAGACTTCAATTATAAACTTGTTTTCTTCCAAAGTATACATTATTATCAATTATTATTGGAAATTAGTTAAAACGATAAAAGTTTAACTAACAACAATAAGTGACACTAATGACAGAACTAGAGCTTTCAAAAAAGTAGAGCGGCACAAATGAAGTTACATGCAAAAAAATTCCAAAGCTGGCTAGATGAAAATCATTTATAACCACTCTGTACATTGAAGTGTGCACCAGAAAGAGTTAATTACGTTGTTAATTTTAATTATTTTTTTGTTACATAGGGTACACATTTATTTGAAAAAATAATTTTTAGGGAAGATTGAGTTTATGATTGTTTGAATTTTCGCATGGTTGCCACCTTAAAATGATCCCTTTCAACGACTACTTCGATGCACATTAATATGAAAACGAGTACTTCAGATGGCAATCCTGATTTTGACATGAAATGTCAGCGGAAATTTTAACAAGTTTGGGTTTTATTCAATAATGTTCACTTTAGAGCAGAAAATTTTTCTTGCTGCAAGTTATTACAAAAATACTGTGTTGCCAACTGTAGAATAGTAATCGTCGCGTATTCTAATTTTTTTTTGATCGCATGGTATATTCACAACACCGTCATGTTCACTGCATTATTTTTTATAATACAATTTATTAAAAAAATCTCAAATTAGCAAAAATAAACAAATAAAGATTGTACTTACGCGTAATTTAGAATAAATAGCATGGAGCTTGTTATTAGATATAGGTTGTACCTTGATTGATATCTTTTGATTTTTTTTTAAATTTATTTTTAATTATTGTAATATCTAAAGAAGTTCAATGTGTCGTAAAAATAATATCAATGATTCAGCGGCGATATTAAATATACATATTTGATACACAACACTTTGTTATCCAATACAAAAATGGGTTATTTTGCCAAATATTGTTATTTATAAACAAGGAATTATCGAAAATGCTGTTCCTATTACGTGTTTATTCGATTTTCACATCCCAGATCTTTAACCTTTCGATCTTAAAATGTTTCTAGATTAGAACGTAAGTATTACACTAATTAGGAATTTAACTATTTGCTATTTGAAGATGATTTAAAGTAATAAAATGCCCGTTTTTTTTCGGGTTGCATCTAAAAATCGGTCAGGGTCTTTATTATAAGTGACAGCTGTATTTCAATAAATTATATTTTCGAGTTTAGTAACAAACTGAACAACTTAATAACTAACTATTTGTACTTTTAGAGCATCCCAAACCCACCCTGCGTTTCACTCATTTGCCCATTTTTTATTAATCCTTCCGATTGTACTTGAACTGAATTGTACGAGAACTGAATTAACATTTGGAAAAATTTCTTTCCCGTTTTTTTAATGTAGCTGTAATTTACCTATCACTTTTTAAGTATACAGGATGTTCGTTTTTTGAGCTCCACCATGAGGATCTCAGTTATTATAAGAGATGCGAGGTCGGTTAAATTAGGGTAAAGTTGCGTATTTTTATGCTGAACAATAATCTGAAAGAAAATTTAATGTGTCATTTTTAGTTTTTGAATTATTGCATATCGTGTGATACATCGTTGTAATCAGGAACAAGAAGACTTTTCAAAAATATAGAAATCAAATATAGCGTCCATAAGAAAATCCAAACTTGAGTACAAGAGCGCCTTGGAAAATACGATGACAGATTTAGATTCCTTATAAACATGTGCCTTAAGAATGTCCTAGTTAAAAACCTCTAGCTCTTTTAGTTTTCGCTTCAAAAAATAAAAACAAAAATTACACATTTTCGTTTTTTTTTCCAATAATTCAAAAACTAAAAATGTTTTTCAATTTTCTTTCAGATTATTGTTCAGCATAAAAATGCGCAACTTTGCTCTAATTTAACCGACCTCGTATCTCTTATAATAACTGAGATCCCCATGGTGGAGCTCGAAAAACGAACACCCTGTATATGTGTAAGGTACTAAAAGGGTATCATTGCGTTAATTACCCTTGCATAGTTTTTAACTACTCGTAAATACGGGTTACTGCCGATAACACTTCATACATAGAAAAACAAACTTATTTGATATTTTAACATTTTAATAAAAAATTTGCAAACTAGAAGTATTAAATACCTAATACAAATATACCTACGTACAGGGTGAGTTTGCGGTAATACATATAGATGTAATAGTTTTTATAACAAATTTCTAACTTCGATGAACTTCTTAATGAATGACTCGTTTTAATTTGCATACCAAAAAAAATAAATATACACTTGAGTGCAAAAAAACGCAAATTGTCAAAAACAAAATTGTCAAATTTTTCAGAGATTAAAGAAAGTTGTTCCCAAAAAGGTTAGAAAACTATCAATAGAAATGTCGAATTTGGTGGTCTTGCCAATGCAGTGTTACAAAAACATGGAAAAACTTCATAGAAGTTTGGAAGATGCCTGACAATTATGAAATTGTGAATTGTGACAAAGGCAACGTCAAAAAACTGGCATTTATTAACAGGCCAAATTACATTATATAAAAAAATCAATTTGCGTTTTTTTTTTGCACTCAAGTGTAACTACTTATTATGTTTTTCTAACACTAATATCTTATAGTGCATTTAAGCTTACAGTTGGAGACAAAATACTTTGGTCGTCACTTTTCTGACACTTTAATGTAATTCAAGCTTTAACGTTAAAATGAATGTCAATTTCAAATTAATGACAGCTATTATATCTCTCTATCAAAAATATGTACAACTTGACAACTATGATGATTGAGAGTAGCTAAAAGTAAGGTTAACATTCCTAAAGCATGCTTTACAATTTAATGTCACTTAAGTGACATTGATGACCAAAGTATTTTGTCTCCAACTGTACCTCTTATGTTGCCGTTAAAATACGATTCATCTATAAAATACGTCGTCAATCACAACATAGCTATTTTAAAAGTATCTACACAAAATACTCTTTGCATTTTGACATTATTTTGACAAACTTCTTTACAACCATTACTGAATTTAGCAAATTTTGGAAATTTTTTTGAAACTAACACTAGTTTTATAGTTTAAAACTCTCTTGTTGGCTTAATAGCTATAGGTATGTAGCTACCTACTACAAACTCTTCCAGGGACACAGTTAATAATAAATGTGAGAATTATGCAAGCAAAATGTTATACAGGGGAAAGGAAAGTCTCGGAACTGTTAATAAAAAGCAATTATCTTGAAAAAAAATTAAAAATCATAGTTGACCGAAAATTTTGAAACTTGGTATAGGGGTTTAAATGTTGATTCTAAACAACTTTTTTTTCTTCAACTTTTAGCTTTTTGTCGTATTTGCAACATAAAAGGCAGTTTATTCAACAAAAAAATATGTTCTTTTTAAATTTCCCAGGCATACTTGATTTTTGCAAACTAAAATTATGTTAGAAAGTAATCTTTAACCAAGCAGGGCTGAACCCAAAAATATAAAATTTAAATCGATTTTTTTTTACAAGAGTCGTTGCACCTAGCTGCATTTTGGATGTCCGAATTATTATTGAATCTCCAAAATTAAGAAGTTTAGAAAAAAACGAGTGATACATTCTGGGACTCATTTTTTGAGAAAATAATATTGGTTAAAACCGCATCCCGGTATCGTCTTTTGTTTTCGACTTAAAGATAAAAATTGACATTTTAGCGAAATCTAAAAAAAATCATATCTTTATTATTGTAGAAGATATGGATTTGAAATAAAGGCACTTTTTTACGTAGTTTACTAAACTTTTATTAATTATTATCTACACATTTAAAAAGTGAAATAGTTTTCCCATGGTCAACTACTATCAAACAAAATATGTAAATATTTCATTTTTTAAGTATAAAAAATATATATATTTTAGATCAGAAAAAAATAAGCTTTTCAAAATTGACATACCCAGTCATTACCTACCTATAACTTCCATTAAAAAATTAAAAGATTATCTTAGCTAAACAAATAACTGAAAAAAATTGTTAACTACATTACGATAGCAGGTTGCAGTTTTAACCAATATTATTTTCTCAAAAAATAAGCCCCAGAATGTATGGCTGAACCTTTTAATTTCGGGAATCCCCTATTTGGACATCCAAAATGCAGCACCCTGTCCAATAATTATGCATGTTGTACAGATATACAGAGTGCGCCAGAACTCGCGCCCCAGAGAAAAATGTTAAAAAAATTCTATCTATAAAAATTTCGAAGTTATGAGAGATTAAATTTTGCACTTTGACTCCATTTATTTCTGTTGGAAAAATAATTTTCCAAGTTTTTTGCTACAGACTATTAAAAGAGGAAAGAAGCTGTATCTTAAATTATAACTCTGTTCAATGTTATTTGTGGCTTTTATTGGCAAAATTTTTGTACTTTTACTAAATAATCATAAAAAGACATACATACAAAATTATCAGTATCATTAAATAGACATAAAAAAAAGTCAAATGTCAAAATTTTTTGACAGATAGAATTTTTTAAACATTTTTCCATGTTCCTGGTATCT